CGCAGTGCCCGTCTGCCATGGCCCGCGAGAACGGCGAGAGCAGCTCGTCCTGGAAAAAGCAAGCCGAAGACATCAAGAAGATCTTCGAGTTCAAGGAGACCCTGGGAACGTAAGTGGGCGCCGGGAGGGGAGGGTGGAGGTCGCGTGGCGGCGGCGGCTGCACCTTGGTCTGCTGCCACCGCTGCCACCGCTGCAGGAACCGGCTCGTCGCCGCGCGCGTCCTCATTGTCCCGTTCTCGCTCCACAGAGCCCCCGCGCCGCCCCCGCGTGGGTCAGCGCTCTCCTCCGCGGTGCCTCCGCTCCTGGAGGGGGAGGGGAGCGCTGGGCTCTCGGAGAGCAACCCACGCGGGCGGGCGACTTCCCACTTGCCCGCCACCGCCGCCCTCGCCACTGCTTTCTCCCCACGCGTGACTGTGGGCTGAGCATGCTGGAGATCGCTGTTTACTGTGTGTGTTTACTCACTGTGCGCCTGTGGACCAGAGACGTGGTCACGGGAAAATTCAGTCTTTTGGTCATTCCTGTTTCTGCGGTTAAATCGGGTATTCACATGAAATTGACATCCGCAAGTCCTAGGTGTGGGAAGGACTTTGAGGAGCCGCGCGATTGTGGAAGGGAGAGAAGAATTTCGCAGAGCTCGGGGGCACATGTAGGCAGAGGAACATCTGAGTGTGTGTACATTTCGCGGGGGCTCGTGTCCCGCGACGGCCTCAGGGGCTTGCTGCACTGGCCGTGCCTCCGGGCTGTGTTGAGAGGCATACTGAGGGCTGCGTCTCGTGAAAGCAGAAACTGTCAGAGGTGGACTCAGTGCACCAAGCATGTGCTGCTCCGTTCGGCTGCGGTTCCCTCCCTGCCCCGAGTTGGTTTTTGTTTTGGAGCGTCTCAGAAAGGTAGAGGGGCTAATAGTGAAAGAGAACTCGACACTGCAGAATGAATCAGAAGTTCAAGTTATCCACCTCCCCCGTGATCGGTAGGGATTGTAGCAGTCAGCCTGGGTCAGGGAGCTGTTGATTAGACCAGGAAGAAAGAGGTGTTCATGGATAAATCAGAGTGTGGATGGGCGCTTGCTTTCCTTCCTTTTCCCTCTACCGTTTCTGCGGTTGCCTTGCTTTTCCAGAACCCCGTTTTCAAACCCATTTTGCCTGTGCTCAGGGTCCACTGCAGTTGTTAGTCATTATCCTCTCTCCACCCCCACATCTGCAGTGGGTCTCCCGGAGAGAAGTTGTGAAGGTGGCATTCCCAGCCTAGCCGGCTTCTGATTCCTGGGAAAGCTGGCGTGCCCAGGACAGGACTAGGGTCTCCCAGTTGTGGCTGCTGGGATCCAGGGAGGGCACCTGTGGGTACTGACTTGCTAATTATTGTTGAAATACAATTAGAAAACAGTTGTTTTTGTTTTGTTTTTTTTTTCTTTTTTTTTTTAATAAAGTGGGGTTTCCTAGTTAAGGGCTGGTTTTGGTCAAAACTTTTGAAACCTGTCACTAGGGTTTATTCAGCTTCGGGGTTATGAGACACTGGGGTCTGAGATGCTGAAGTTACAGGGAAATAAGGGGTTTTATCCTGTGTGAATGTGTCCCTCCTCATGGCTTTTACCCGCCGAGGCCCTTTGCCTGCAGCCTCTTGGCAGGTTGATGCAGTATCTCTGGACTGACTCCTGCTTCCTGGAAGAGTAGTTGCCACTCGGCTGCACATCTGCAGTAGCCCGGCTGCTGGGGCTCCACTGAGTGGCTCCTGCTGTAGCTGGCTGTTGGGGTCACTGCAGTGGCTTCCACTTCTGGGAAGGATGGGGAACTACCTTCTGACTCTACAGCTCCTTCAATTCTGGTCCCATTCTGGTGAGCTCTGGGTATGAGTCTCTTCTAGGGTATCAGAGAGTTGCCTTCTGCCCTGGAAATTATGGTTTGCAAAGATACTTTCCACTGTAGTGCTGGCAGGGGTCCTGGAAGAGTGTAAGTTATACAATAAAATGACCAAGTTCTTTTTACTCATTGACATAATTGTATGGTAATCATGGTAACATCCTTCAGTGTATACCAAGTACCCAGTGTTTGTTCTAAGTGCCTTCTGTGTATTACCTCATTTAAATATCGTGATAACCTTATGATGCAGATATTTACTGTGATCCCAATTGTCAGATGAGAAAACTAAGGCAACAGAGAAGTTACGTGACCTGCTGACCATTAAGTGATGGAGTTGTTGTGAAAAGCCGGGCAGAACCTTTGATAATACATATAGGGGTGAGCCACTTTGTAATGGCAGATGATGAATAATAATTTGACTTGGGCCTGGGATGTGGAATTCAGTGACACAGCTCTTGCCGAGCATGTGTGAGGCCCTGTGCTCCACCCCTAGCATTGAGAAAAAAAATAAAGGGCTTAATTTTAATATTTGGAAAGCTAATTTTAACACTCATGTAAATAGAACATAATTATGGGATAATCTATTCTCTAAATGTGTAAGAATTTCAGAGCTTTTGGATTATCAGAGTCATTTTGTCCCTGGGACTTGCTAGAAGTGTTTCCAAGTTGAGGATGTCTGTTTTACCTGGGCCAAGTCTAGCAGCCTCAGCCTGAGTCTCAACATGGAGCTCACTTCCTGTCCTTTCAGGTGGGTTTGGAGCCAGGCTTTTCTGTCGTTTGTAATGAAGTCCAGCATGAATCAAAAGCATCCATAATTACAATCGGTGTTCATTTCAAGAGCACTCTGTGGTTCCCCTCATGTTGTTCGTCACACCTTTACCATATGTCTTTAAAATCCTAAAGCAGGAAAGCCCAGCAAGAACTGAGGCCATTAGCTTACAGTCTTAAAACTCTTTTGAAATAAAACATCATAAAACCAGGGAGGATTAGCACTGCCAGGCTCTGGAATCTGATACTTGGCTGCCTTCCCCAAGTGTCTTCCTAGTCTATTAGGACACTTACTGTTGGATGTTAGGGTCAGGTGTGTTAGTTGGTGTGGTCAGAGGGACCTTACTGGAGTGCAGAGGCCTGGGACGCGGGAAGATTGGCCTACGAGGTGGAAAAAGATGGAGGAAGCAGAGGGCAGCAGAGGGGAAACGATGTGAGTTGTGGTTTGGGGCTGGGTTGTCTGATGAATCTCTGAGGAAGCCTCAGGGAAAGAGCTGTCAACCTGGGGCTTCACTTTAGCCTCTTTTGAAAGAGAATCCCAGAACCTAACCATATCTCTGAATTAGGTAGTGAGACTTAATTATTGTTTATTAATCAACAACATGTTTCAGATCCTTGGCACACAATGAAAGCAAATAAATGTTGTGTAACAGCAAATTAGGGATGGTAAACATTCTGTTGACGCATTTTGCTGGGATGTTCAGGCCTTCTCTGCGGTAGGTGTCTTTCATTGATTTCTGAAGCTACCACAAAAACCTAACATGTACAGCCTCGATCAGTGTGTCGATGGGGAGAAAGCTCTCTATGGTGGCCAGAAAGTGCCCTAGACCTGTGCAAGTGTGCCTGCAGTTTCCAGCCAATGAGATGCATGTGAACAGGGCAGGCCTTAATGCTTGGCATCACCAGAATGGTTTTTCCAACTTGGAGGATGGGAAGTGGCATATCCTAGGAAACAGATCTCCATCTCTGCAGAGTCTGAATACAGGTGGTTCACAGAGACTGAGCATTTGAAGTGTACTGTCTATAGGTGGCTGGCCTGGGTCTGGTTCAGCTCCTAAGGGGTTGTGTGGCTTGTGTCGAGAAGGGGTATCCTGTGTGCCTGAGAGAAGCTTGTTTGGGTTCTCAGGGACATAGTTAAGACTGTGCAGGAGCGTAGTGAATCAGCTCCAGACCAGCTGCCCTATCCTGCGAAGCATCAATGGCAACTAAATGTCTGCTGAGTGCTGCTTTAGAAAGAGAGCAAATGGCCATTTCTGTGGGGCAAGCCTTGTCCTTTGCTGCCTGTCTCATACTTACACTTATTTTGAAATTGCTCACTGAATACACCTATTGTCTTAAAGTCAGTATAGGAGACAGACTCAACTTTTCTCTTTTGGGATGGTGTACGTAAAAGGAAGGAGAGAGAATGCAAAACTACTGGAAGCATTTGAATATTTAGGTGGCTGATTTAATTGTATTTTTTGTGGAATTACTCAGAATTTTAGCATCTATGAGAAGCATTTGAAAGAACATTACTAAGAGAAAAATAGGGATGGGAAGCCTTAGGTTTCTACCTGAAGATGTCCCTGCTGTAATCACTTTGAATTTCTTCTTGTCTAGAGACATGATATTAATTCAACCTCTCAGATATTTAAAAAGATTTCTGGAACACCGGCTCCTTGAGCAAATAGGCAAGAATGCCTGCTCTCCTAGGGCCTCCATTCTGGTGAGGAACCAGAACATAAGAAAGATGAAGAAGTAAGTGATGCACGTTTGTAAGCGCAGCGTTCTGGGAGGCTGAGGCAGGAGGATCATAAGTTTGAGCCCAGCCTGGGCAAGTTAGTGAGACCTGTCTCAAAACAAAGGAGCTGGGGATAGGGGCTCAGTGGTGGAGCACTCTTGGGTTCTATCCTCAGTCCTAGGGAAAAATTTGGGGGAGAAACATTGGAATTGGAGGGATGTAAGCCCTTCAGATGATCTGACTTAGGCTTTTCACGCTCCCTGGTGCTGCTGTGTCGAGAACAGACTGTTGGAGTGAAGAGCAGAAGCCAATGCAGTGATTGGGTGACAGATGATGGTGCCCTAGGACGTGAAGGCAGGTGTGCAGATGAGGAGAAGCGACTGGATTCTGGATCTGTTTTGGAGGTAGAGCCAGTAGGATTTGATGGTGGGCAGGACATGGGGTGTGTGATTCTCCAGAGTTTTGGGATTGCAGGGCTGGTGTGTCAGCTGGTATTGTTCAGCACGTCCAGGGATTTTCTGAGCACCTGCTCAGCCTGAGTGTTAGGGGCTGTGGACTGCATTCCAACAGCGGTTTCTAGGGCAGACTCACAGCCTGGAGGTGTCTCTGCCCTCCTGGTGAGGGGCTCTTGCATTTCAGGTGAAGTTCAGGGCAGGAAGAACTGGGACTGTGTGAGAAGATGCTATTTTGTGCTTTTCGAATGCCATCATCACAAGAGCTAGATCACTGTGGTAGGTGGACCGATAACCTGCAGCTCTCCCACTTGAC